GCAATTGTATAGATTAGGTAAGACTGGGTTACTGAGTGGTTGTACTCATCCCTTAATTCTTAATATTTTCAAGGCCTAACTTATTGAATCAAAATTAAGGAAAGCATTCTAAAGCATAGGATTTCGATGTAAATCCTATTTGTTTGCCTCTTTATTTATGTGTATTTATGTTGTTGAATTGCCAACTATGACTCATCGACCAATTTTTATGCTACTTGCATTATGAATGTATACAACTTGTGTATTTTTGCCCTTAGGTTTGTAAGTTTTAAGTTGTAAATCTTATATAGGGATAAAATACTTATGCAAGTAGTGTTATGTGTATTTTGAATTGATTTGAAATGAAAAGAAATGATTGTGCAAAGATTTCCTCCCCCTTATATTTTATGAACATTAGGGTTGAGTGGTGCAATTACATTATGTGTGTATAGTTGTGGTTGTGGTGTGTTGTATAGTCCAATAGGGTCTATTGAGTGTGGTCAAGTGGACAGTGTATGTTTTTGGCACTTGTGTGTGAGTTTGGACACCATTATTGTGAGTTTTTATGAAAAAGTAGTGAAAATGGGTTTCGGTATCTAATTCTTTGTAGAAAAAGAATTTAATGTGAAACCTGTGCCATTAGCTAGAGCTAGGAGAAAGTTCCGTGTAGACACTGAAATTATCTCAATCAGATATTCGATGGAGATTTGGGACATATTGGAAGTTCGCTTCCAATGTTGTCATATGACAGTAACTGTTTGCTAACATATTTCGTGCAATGTGCCATGGTACATGGCACCTCATGCCATGGCACATGGCACAAAGGCTAATAAGCCGTGGTGCATTGACACTCACTCATGGCATATGTGCCATTTTTTTTGCATAAGTTGCATATTTGAGTTTGAATTTATTGTCCTGGGTCCCATTTGATCTTTAAACTTCTGCATTACTTTGAAAACTTTGATTTTGAACATAATGAAAATGTATAGAGATCTAAAGGCAAAAGATTTGGGTTCCCATTGCAAATGGTTTAAAAAATTGATTCTCCCAATTGTTTAAGTGTTTGTTCCACTTGTGAATTTTGAAAAACTTAGTGATCATATTGGGTTAGACCTTTGATTATCTCAATTTTGGAGTTAATGGTGATTATATAGTAAGGAAGTTACATCCCTTAGTTAATGCAGTTGCTGGCTTTTATCTTCTTGCCTTGAGTTGACTGAGATTGAGAGTCAGGTGGTTTAAATAAAGGAGTATTTCGATTATTTGTTCGTATTGTTTAATGTATAAAATATTTAGTTTGGTCCTTGAATTTAACTTGGTCATTGGGTATAATTTTTCTTTCAATTAGGTCCTTTTCACCAATTTCCCTAGATATTTTTAAGTAAAATATTAATTAATGATTGAGTCTAATATAGTTGATCATCTGCTTGTGGTTGGAGTTGCAGTCTAATGTGGCAATGGCCCAAGCAAAGCTGTCGAAGTTAAAATTTTGCATGTGACTATAAATTTTTTAATTAGAAACAAATATTCATTTTTTTTGTTATAAAAAATAATAGAAAAAATTACATATAGATCCTGTAGATCAGACTCATTTACAAATAAATCCTCCAAAATTTAGAAACCAAAACCAGGTTCCTTAGGACTTAAGTGTAATTTGAAATTACGGTGTAAAGACAATACCACCCTTACTTGTAATGCATGATCAATTATTGCATATGTGAAGTTACTATTGTAAAATATTGAAGTACTGTTATACTTTATTAGTAATGCATGATTAGTTTAATTATTACATATATAAAATTATAGTTGTAAAATATTGAAGTAATAGTTGTAAATTACTGATGATGTAAGTTGTAAACAATTAGTGTTAAATTTTATTAGTAACACATGATTATTTTAACTATTAGATATGTGAAATTATAGTTGCAAAATATTGAAGTGATAGTTGTAAATTATTGATGAGATAGTTGTATATGATTAATATTAAATTTGTAATGTATAATTAATTTAACTATTACACATGTGAAGTTACAGTTATAAAAAATTGAAATGATAATTGTAAATTATTGAAGAAGTAATTGTAAATTACTTAATATATTTTTAATTAATAAGGGCATTATTATCTTTACATCTTAATTTTAAATTATACTTAGATTAAGGGACTTGGTCGGAGTTTTAGAATTTCATGAAATTTTAATTGTAAATAAATCTACTCCATACAACCTATACGTAATTTTTCCAAAATAATATTAATGTTTTATTTCGTAGACTTACAGTTACTTGTTTCAGGGAGGTGGAGTAATATATGGAATAAGGTGCAGGAAACAGATAAGCCACGTTAACAATGGGGTTACATCAAGTAAAAAAAGTTAGTCTTTGATAACATAATAAATTAATGTTCAAATCTTCACTAAGCGAGATGCATACATTTAGTATTTCTTTTTTATTTTTTGATATAGTAATTTTGAAAGCAGTTACCCGCAAACTAATTTGGGGTTAAAAAATTGAGAGCTTTGAAGATTCTCCATTGGCATGCCGATAACCCTTATTTGTGACTGATTATAAGTTTGATTCTGCCCACCAACACTTACAAATAAAAAAAAGCAGAGAAAATAATTCCACGAATCTAATACATGAATATAATGATCATCTATAAGAAGCAAATTAAAATTTTTTGGACAATGCATAGAAAATTTAAAAAAAAAACAGATGTCAAGGATGTGAACATAAATTCAACAAATTAAAGAGAAGGCTAGAAGAAGAAATTTGTCACACCCCTAAAACAGAGGGTGACCGGCATAGGATGTGAATTGTATCATACATCCTTTAAGCCTCAAATTAAGTGAAATTTTACTTTTCAAAAACATAATTAGATTTGTATTGAAATTATGATATTTTTAATAATGATTATTTTAATAAAAGTTTTAATATATTTATAAAAATTTTGATAGAACCTTCTTTGTAAATAAGATCTTTTGAAATCTCTACAATAGAAATTATTATAGTATGCATTTAATAGATTGAAACTATGTTTCCTCGACATAAACAGTCAACATAATAGAATAAAAATCAGGATCTTAGTTATAGTTAATGTGGAGCTCCTAAAACATAATTTTTTTAAAATAAAACATCTAATTGAATATTTACATTAAAAGAGAAGGGATTTATAAAAATAAATATTTATCTAGCACAGTTGTAAGCCCTTAAAGGTCAGCAAGAGGTCCAGCATCAATTAATGAATCTGAGACCAAAATAATTTTTAATGAATAGCATCCCTAAAAGTAGAGTTTAACAAAGCAAAATGATAATTTACTATTATATGAAATAATTGAAAGGAAATGAATTCAGAATAATAACTCACAAGATCTAGAATTATCAATTATAATAATAAAACATGAATGAGTTAAAATTTCTTGAATCTGATATGCTAAAGGAGGATAATTTATTCATAATTGAGTAAAAGTAGCAAACTTACTAACTACAAATATTGAAAATTCAAATATACTAGCTGAGAACAATCAATATAATATAATCATGAATTTGAAGGTTAAGAAGTTCCATATAACTTCAAAATACTAAACCACCAAATTGATAATGACAAAATAGTTCAACTCTTTGTGCTTGTAAATCAAAATAAATAAATAAATAAATAAATAAGAGTACCCTTTATTAAATAAAACCAATAAAGTGTTTATTTACAAATCAATTAAAATCTAATATAATAACATTTGATCTTTAAGGACTTTTGTAGAAAAAGTAACAAACGTGGACACACAGTTCACGAGATAAAATAACTAAATGTGGCTTGTGCCATGAAAACAAACATGGACATATTAGTCCATGACGGTAAATAACCAAACGCAGTCGAAATCACGAAACAAACGTGGGCATACAGTCCACGAGGGTAAGGCTAACCAAACGCAGCTCAAAGCCACGAAACAAACGCGAGGGCAAGGCTCACGAATAACAAATGTGAGAACGGAGCTCACGAAAACCAAGCTAGCTAGTCATTAACCAAGGCGCACCAACGATTAACAGAACTACCATTAGCAATAGTGTTCTGCTTAAAGTCCTCGTGAAATCAATTTTATTAAAAAATATATTTCGTAAAGAAAATACATGCATATACCAAATTTAATTAACTTTCACCATCATTCTAAAATTTTTAGAACCAAAATGATTTAATTAACAAAGTATATAATAATCATCGTAGTTGTTAAAATGATTTATATGAAAATATAATATTTTCAAAAACAAACTACTTTTATTGAAAAATATGGGGCGCTATTCACTTACCTGTTAAATTCCAAATTCAATAATTTCCTTCCTCAATTCTTATTAAGGAACTCATCTTCCACATACCCTATATGAATAAATGAAACCTCAATTTGCTTCCTATATTTATATAAACTTTATTCCACTGCCGATACAATCTCAACCAACTAAAGTACTCAAAATTCCAAAAATCAAAAATCAAATATTAATGGTTTATCAAATATCATTACTTACCACCAATTTACCTCATTATTTTAGTCATAACTACTATTTATATAAGATATAATTTTCTCATATCTTGTATTGAACACCTTGTATGCAAAATTTCCAACCACCCACTATTAAATTTATCATGCTTATTTTATCCATTTCTCAAACATCTTAAATCTATTCTCAAGATCAAATGATAAACACCACTGTACGTATGAATTTATAAATTACACAACATAAATCTTCTAAAAATTTAACTAACCACAGTATAACTCAAGAATCAAACTCCTTGCAATGCTCAAGTTAAAACTCACGTAAATAAAATTTGAATCAGTCATGCCTCTCATCCCACTAAATAGAATTTTAGAAAAGTCCAAATCTAGCAAAACTCTTCAAACAAGCATCTTACCGAACACCTTATAAGCACCAATCTCAATCTCATACCTAAGCCCTTCCCTTCCAACTTCATCACACTAAATCCTCAAAATCAATCAATCTAAACAAAAATACTTTAACATAAAATTCAGACCCACATATACCATCATGAACTTTTAAGATATTTTTCTAACTCAACTTTGAATTTAAAATTTTTTTCCCTACACAGCACGGATGAAGGCATAACCAAAAGAAAAATTTGAAATTTCATCTCCATCACTTCACCTACTCACACGCACAGAATTTATCCAAGGAAAAGAGACGAGATCAAAGCTCCTCACCTCATATAAACTCAAACGCACCAACAGGAAGAGAAAGAAAAAAAATCATGCCTGTGCAGAGGAGGGAAAGGAGATTGTCGTTGAGTATAGAGAAGAGATGAATAGATTAGTGACTGATAAAACAAGCAAAAGAAAGCAAACCATCTTACACTCATCCATACAGTCACCAATAGTGTAGAAGAATGAGTTTTGGTGAGCTGGAACAGAGGAGAAGAAAGGAAACAAAAACCATGAGTTGTTGGATCAGTGCAGAACGGAATAGCGACAATCACGTCGGTGAAGTTTGTAATCAGAAGGACGAAGGAGAAGGTGCAGCAAAAGGATTGAACAATGGCAGAATCAAAGCCACTTCTCTCTCTCTCTCTCTCTCTCTCACTCTCGGTCTCTTTCTGGAAAAATCAAAGAAGTAGAGGAGAATATATCAGATTTAACAGAGGGGTAGTTTGGTAATTTCACAGAGCAAAAAGCAAAAATAATTCTCCTTGTGGCTTCCAGCAAATTTGAATGTGGGACCTATTGAGGGAATACTTGCACAGCCACCACTACACCAGCTTCCCTTCTTGACATATTTGTCCCAATAATTAATATATTTACAATAAATACACATTATTACATATTTAATTTTTCTTATTAAATTTTTTTTGTGTTATTACAAAATTTGCCTTTATAAGTAAAGAAACTGTCGAATATAGTGAACATCTTCCATTGCAACAAATCGAGCTATAATGCCTGTTACTGTCAGGAATAATATGATCTGTCCATTAAATAATACAAACAGATATAAATAATCATAAATTTCAACTAGTTTATCAGTCAACTTAAAATATATAATTCAATTAAAAATCTGAACTGACATATATACTTTTTTCGTTAAAAATATAAGGTATTTTTAACATTTTAAGATATAATTAATAATGTTTTTTTTAAAAGAACCCTTAGTCGAAAGGTTCATTTACTAAGATTTTCTGATTGATATATCATATTAAATAATGATAAATATAAAAATAATCTTTGATTTTAAAGATAATTAACTAATTTATTGATAGATGTAATTTAATTAAAAATTTCTTCTAGTATTAAATGGAGAGTATCTATCAATTCAAGGCATAGGTTGGATTTTGAAAACGGTGGGTTTCATTTGTTAAATGGAACATATCATCACTATATTAATTGAGTTGTTAAAAAGGTTTGCATTCCAACTTTTAAATTTACAAAAACAATTAAAAAGTTTTCCTATTAAGCTTTCTTTTTTTTTTCAATTTTATAAGAATATGTAGAAAATTTTTTTTGCTAAACAAATCCTTCTATTGCAAATTAAGGCGTCACAATATTTTGCCATGAATTTTAGAATTTCTATTTCTTTGTCACAATATTTTTCAAGTGTTTTGGTGAGTTTTGTGTGTGAGTTTGTATTGAGGTTTTTTTTTTTTTGCTTTGGCTATTAGTGTTTGTAATATTTTTTGGTGATTAATAAAATTGGCTCTATTTTGGCCAAAAAAAATTGGATGAAGTTTTGTCTATCACAAATTTCCCCCCTTTTTTCTTAGGTATAGTAATTAAAAGTAAATTAAACAATGGCATGAGATTTACCCTCTCAACATAATCAAGATAACAACCAAAATTGCCACTTCCAAAACGCTTTCTTGTGTCTACATTGAAGATTAATAGTGCTGTTCGAAAGCCGGTATACGCGGATGCAATCAATAATGTAAAAAAACTGAATCTACAATAATAAAAAATAAAAATATAATCATATATAATGCTTGGTCATGGCAATGATTAAATTACATATTCTTGGAATCTATTTTTAAAAGAAACACAATCCTATTAAAAAAATATAAATAAAATCTGTATAATTTCAGAAAAAATGAATTTATATATGAATTTTAAAATTATATGATAAATTTGAATAATTTAAAAAAATATCCAATACATCTGGAAATTTTGCCTCTTTTTTTATAAAATTATTTATGTATGCAATTTCCATAAATTCGTAAAAGAAAATTTCCGTACAGTTTAGAGTACTCCTTTAAATGGAGTAATTTTGAAGTATTATCAAAGAAAAATATCAATCGAGAACTAAAATCAAAAGCCAATCGATCAAATCCATAAGCTAAATTTGTTCCTTAATCGATCTAAGAATCTAGCTCTGACGGGTAAAAAAAGAAGTAATGATTGAACAGGTAAACAATTTTATACGTACTGATAGGAGAGAAGATCTTTGAATTTGATTTTCAGACCATAGCTTCTAACACTTCACTTTCCCTATCACCGGAAATTAAAAAGGTAGCAATCAGAAAAAGCACAATGTTCATAGCCCTCAAGACCAGACGACGAGTTCTTGGAAGAGTTGAAGATGATGATGAGTTTTCCATAGCAGGCTTTATTTGAAGAATACAACAGTTTGATCCTGCGTGAAGAAACTTGGTGTAATTCGTGAGCCATTTATAACCTAACATGTGATGAGGATTATTATTTATTAATATATTAATTGAGATTCCCTAGTAGTAGTATAGTACTATTAAAATGCTACATTGGAGTAATAGTTTACTTTGAAAATAGTTCTGTGACAATTGGCTGGATCAAGCTGGCATTAGGTTGACCCAAAATTTGTGGTCGTGGCAGAATTAAAATTTGAAAGCTCCCTCGTTCATGTGGAAGCTGACCAGTAAAAAGGAAAAAAAAAATGCATAGGTAGTTTAAATCTAATACTCTCTCTATTTCTATACATAAAAGAAAAAAAATTGTATCACACAATTTAAGAAAGTTGGTTAACTATAATAATTATATCTGAAAATAAAAAAATTAGATTAAAATGTTTTATATTAATCAACACAAGCATGCATTAATAATTATTTGTCATTAATGTAAATTATGAGGAGTGATTTAAAAAATGTATAATAAATGCTTATTAAAATAGGTGATTTTGCTTATATATAAAAATAAGTAAAAAGTGATATTTTATTCTTCAAATAAAAATGGAGGCACTATAGATGTATTCCTTTTAGTCCCTTATTATAAGGCATTTTCAGTCATTTCACTAAAATTAATGAATGACAGTTAACTCATTAAATACTTTTAAAATAAAAAAATTCCAGCTTTGCCACTATTTAAAAAAGGTAGAGAGATATACAGTATATGATGAGCAATAAAATTAAATTTACAACAAGGGCAAGGTTGAAAAATGGTAATAAATTAACCCTTCATATGTTTTATATTAATGACCAATGAATTTTTTTAGAAAGTGTTCTATAATAGGAATCAGATAAAAACATTATAGTAAAAAAAAATGTTACAATCTTTATTTTAAATTTTAGCTTTGAAAAGTAAAGTGTAAATAAAAGAGTTTGTAGCTATAGGAATTTTTTTTTATATAAAAAAATCATGCTAGTCAAAATTATAAATTAATACTACTTCCTGTTAAGGGAAAAAACTCCTTCAAAAGGTCTTAAGAAATTGTCAAAAGTACCAATGGATATTGGATCTAGTGGAATGAAATAATCTCTCACAAAACAATGTGAACTAAGGATTCAATCCTTGTTTAGAGAAATGTCAACATTTAAATCTCGACCATATCTTGAACATGAATGTTATATTCTATAGGAGGATATATGTGCATGATAAAATTTAATTAAAGTTAATCAATGTGTTTATTTCAAATTTTTGAAAATACCCCTATCTAAATGCAATACCTTTCGTTTAACTAATTTTTTATATATATATAGAAATTAAAGAACTACTAGAATTCACAAAATTTAAATTTTCAATCACTTTCTCTGTTAAAAATGTAAAATATTTTTTGAAGGGTTAGATCTTAAAAAATATAAAGTACATTTAACATTTTAAGATATAATTAATGTATTTTTTTCAAAAGAGCTCTTAATAAATAAATAAATTTATATTTATTTTTAAGCAAAACACCCTATTAAATAAGGGTATATGTAAAAATATTACGTTAGTTAAAAGAGAATTAAAAAATTTATTAAGGTAATATTTATTTTAAAAATACATTACATTTTCTGACGGATGAAATATATTAAACACATAAAGTAATAATATAAAATATTTGTTTGTTTGAACCATAGTTGCGATAATTTATTTTTTAATTATATTTAAATATTTTAAATTTGTTTGAATATATAAAATAATGAATTTTAAGAATTTTTATGATTTCAATAAAATATATTAAAAGTAGTAACTTATAAATACAACAATGAGGACTGTATGTGTGGTTTTTTTTTTTGGGACTCACAATCACATCAATGCCTTTGAATTTAGTTTGGCTATACCATAACTGCAATAATGTATTTGTTAATTGTATTTAAAATGTAAAAATATTTTAAATTTGTTTGAACCTAGGGAATAATCATCACGAAGAAAAGAAAAGAAAAGAAAAGAACACACAAAATCGTGATATTTATTGGAAAGATAGATAGATGAAAAAGAAAGAAAAATTGAACAATCATTTTTGATTATGTTTATAGGAAGGCAAATAAATGTGTAGACTGGTTGGCTCATCAAGTTACTATAAAAAATTTCAATGTTCAAATCTTTAATACTCCTCTCTTGGGATGTAGGGATTTTTTGTATGTTGATATAACATAACATGTCTGCATGGTATTTTTGTGGCCTTTTTATTCAAAAAAAAAGAGGAAAAAAGCATTGTTCATGTACTTATTATTATTATTATTTTGCCAACTGTTCGTATACTTATTAATTTGAACTTTGAACCCATATACATGTAGTTTTAAGACCCTATTGTAAATCATAGATAATTATTTGTTGACGAAACGAAGGGGATTAAAAAAAAAAAACCGAAGCGCTGTTCAAACGAAAAGTCTGATTAACTCGTGCGTTTAGTCAATTCTATTAATTAATTGTACATGTCTTATCCTAAGAAGAATAGATAGTATATTGATTATAATTTTTGAAACAATCTAATTAATTAGTTCGGTATACTTTAGGTATACCTTTAGTCCCATGAGATTATAAATTGCTACCAAATCCCAAGTCTCTTGATTACAAAAATATGTTCATGTTATTTTATTTTATTTCAAAATGAAACGTTAGTTGCATTTGGCAACTCAGTTCTCAGCTGCCACATATTTAGATAAATTATCCAAGGAATCGTCTAACTGTCTAAGTGTTCAACAATATCCTCCCTTTAAAATGGAGGGTAATCCTCCCTCCATTTTAAAATGTTAGTTTTCTAAACTCTCAGAAATATAAGTAATGCTTTAAAGTATTAATCATATTGTCGAATTTACTTTTAATTTAATGCATTAAAATATTTTCACACACACACATATAAAATAAGGATACAATAGGAAAAATGTTAATAAGTATTGTTTTTGTAAGATTCTGGAGACAGAAAACAAACCTGCGATGACGAACAGCTTCTCTTGAACCACACGCAAGGACTGGTTTAAGATTACGAAGCTTAGTTGGAGTTCTCACAGTGTATATTTTTTGAGATAGGAGGGAGGGAGGGAGAGAGGGAGTCGCATAGAAAACGTCACTGGTTGTCTGGTAGCACACCCAAAGTCGGTTGCCATCATGAAATATGGGTAATTACATACTTTCTCTTGTCTTATTTACAAATCACTTTTACTTTATTTCATTAAAATTAATAAAAATCTTAAACCTTACTCTCTCCTTAAAAAATATAAGGTATTTTTAATCAAATCTCACCTCCCAATAAAATAGTAACCTACTTTCAAACTAACGCTATCTTTCTATATTTACCCCTATTAAACACTCTATAGTAAATATAAAGTTACTATTAATAGAGGTCCTTTTGAAAAAAAGACAATAATTATACCTCAAAAGATTAAAAATACCTTATATTTTTGGACATCTAACTCCTTAAAAAATGTCTTATATTTTTGAACGGAGGGAGTATCAATTTTATCTTAAGATTTTATAATTTTTCACCTTTACCCTTAATAAATATTCTTAAATATCATTATTAGTATTTTTATTTAAAGCATTTAATAAGAACAAAAATATAAAGAGAGGCATTGAAAAATGACAAGTGCCCTGTAAATAAAATTATTTTTTCTCTTTCTATATTATAAATAGGATCAGAGGAGTAATTTTGAAACCAAAATTATAACTGCTCCACTACTTCCCTGCACCCCATAACCCTAAATTATTTAATTGAAATGATTTAACTCATTTCAGGTAATTGCTATTTGGGTTTGGGCTTTTCATCATATGGTCCAATTTATCAAGGGTGGACTATATTCTAATAGTTTTGAAATTTCAAAAATATGTATAAATGAAGCAAAAATTTCTTCTAATAAAAAGACTAGTATGAATCACAGACAGGGAGACAGAGAGCAGTAACATTTCTCATTTCATTACACCACCAAAGATGATAGGCAATGCGTCTGTTTGCCTTTCTGTTTTCTTGCTATTGAATATATTTTTATTTTAATGATAGAAAAACTAGGAAAAGAAATTATTTTGCAGGGCTTAACGACCCATATATGACAAAACATCCGTGCAAGTTGAAAAGATGCAAAAAATAAATGATGATGATGATGGAGCCATAAAGTCTTAAGTTTAGACTTCTTTTGTATCACTTGTAAATGAGTAGAGAGAGCTTTGAATCTAATCTTAAAAACTTCGTTTTCAGTCTTTAGAAATGAAGTTAACACATATCAAAGTTTGCAGAAGTTGGAAACATTTTAAAATGATTTTTCTTCACTGACCCCATTTTAACGTATCAATATTGCATTGGTTTTGACGCGTCAAACTGTCAATATTATGCTTTTTGACACATCATGTGAAATTTTGATGATAACTCAATGTCTCAATGATCAATATAATTAACTTGTTAAGATCAGAGCTTAATTGTCAAGTAGTTAAGTTGTCTCTATGAAAATTCCAACGCATTTAAGTTATCAATATCTGTGTGAAAAACTTGCTTTCACTCTCTATCACAAACCTAACATGTTAAATTTCTAACGTGTTAATCTTGGCGTTATTAGTGTTTCGCCTCTGAGAAAATATTATTAATTTCATTTCTTACACATTACTTTTGTTTCGAAGAATCTAAGTTTTGTTTCTGTGAAAATTTTAACTCGTCAACCTCTAGCATTAACACATTAATGATTCAAGTATTTTAACACAACAATATTCATTTTAACGTTTCAATTCTTCATCTAAAAACTTTTCACGTCTGTAAAAATTCTAACACATTAATTTGACTTTTATCCCATGGTTTCCAGTGCCGTGTTAGAGATAAAAGAAACCCCATATGAAGAAATTAGAAGATAGATCAAGAATATATAAAGCTTGAAATTTGTTTAATCAAATAGCTCAAACTATTTTGATGAAGTAAATATCCTTTGTATAAGGATGTTGTCTTTGGTATATATAAAATTTCGTTCAAGTAGTCAGATTATCTCTCTTTGGTTGAAGCAATCTTTTTGGTGCCGCCGCTTTATCCCGAACAGGATTGTTCAACCATTGTGGATATTTTTATGAATCTTGGACAATAATTAAGCAAAAGTATTGCTTTAAGTGGATCCCAAGAACCTTTAACGAAGTTATAGAGAGATCAGACTCCACTACATCCAAGCTGTGATCGATGCGAAAGAGATGAGCTCTTCTGACTAGACCTTTAGGCCCCCATCTCCACTTTCCTCTCCTTTTGATCATCTTTGTGACGTGTCTAGGAATCTGACTTGGGATGCTTTATAGTTTTTTTTTTCCATTTAATTTTTTTTTCTATTTTGTTTCTTTTCTTTATCTCTTGCTTATGTTAATTTGTTGCCGGGTTTGTGATGTGTTAATGTTTCCTTCAAAGTTTTAATGAAAAATATATGTGGGAAAAAAAAGCAGAAGATTGCATTATAGATTAAGAATATATGTATAGCCACAGAAAGAGTACATATATTAACGAACAAAGTAAACAAATCCACGTTATGTTACAGTTAGACTGATTAATTACAAATAAGGGAACGGCAAATTAAAAGAAAAAAGAATTAATTAGAATATAAGATCAATATATATATAACACAACAATTAAGCACCGATAATTAAAGATATTGTAGAAGAGAATCTAAGGTTTTTTGGGCAAAGCATAGGAAGTAAAGACAGAAGCTGTGGCTGTGAACAGAAATCCAATAAAGAGAAGACTGGCTGAAGCATTTGCCTTCTCAAAGAAGCTATCAAAAGGAAGGCCTATTAAGTCACTAAAAGCACTATGCACATCCATGGTTGCACCAAATCCTGCTGCGGCCCCTGTTGCTAGTAGGTATGATGTCATCTGTCCGCACAATAATAAGATTTAAGGTGCTCGATATATGATCAATCAGATTCAACCCAACCAACTAGTTCGACTGGTATATTATATAAATTAGTGAATCATTGAACTAGATATTTATTTGATATGAAAGATTTTCATAACAAATCCAATCAAAGACCCATTAAAAATTATAATTATTGAATGAATTAAGAAATAATAAAAATTAATCAGGAATTAGTAAATTTGGGTTTTTATTTTTTAATAATAATTATATGTATAATTAAAATAAAAAATTTATAAAATTGTATTACAATTAGTTTGAATTTGAACATACTACCACCTCCCACTTAGATTCATGTGAGATCATTTTTACTAATAGTGACCTTTGTGGGGTATCTTGGAAATGGTTTTGTTTAATAGTTTTATTTAACGTAATGCTTATTCTAGGACTCAAACCCGAGAGCACAAAATAAACTGATTTAGCCTTTTTAACTAGTTGAACTAAGCAGCTCTTAATCCATGATGATACCATTATTATTATGGTATAGGTTACACTACTTACATGTATGTAATTTGTCACTTTGAAATTGCTTTTTAAATCACATAGAAGATTAGTAAAACAAATATTAATTTTTTAATATTTAATATTCAATTCAATATATAATATAAAATCTATAGAAAATTATAAACAATATGGATTATGATTTTTCTAACTAATCGCATGAGATGTATACCTTGTCACCATAAAAGTCAAGTAGATAGCCAAAATCACCACTTATAAGACGCTTTCCTGAGACCACATTGAAGGTTGAGAGTGCCATTTGAAAAAGGTTATATGCAAACCCAATGACAATTGTGGCGATCATGTATCTATATACAATTAAAAAATCAACATATTATTAATGCTTGTTAATTACATTATATTACAATGAGTAACGTATAAGGTAAAATTAACAAAATATACGTAGAATCAATATATGTCACTTATTTTTCAAGTAAGTAAACTAGTATTAATTCATTACGATAGCTTATGATCAAATATCTTAATCTAGACATGCTTGCCTCAAGTTACAACAACTTTTTGAATAAAATATCAATCCTTAAACATGATCTCATTAAGAAGGGAGGAGAGATTATATTATATCATAAAGTCAATTTGTGTAGTAGATATAATGTAATAGAATATAATCAAATTTTCATTTTAATCATAAATAACACTACTAGAAAAAGCATTATTTTTTAGGGTCACAAATATCAAAATATGCGTCATTGACCATTAATACCATCAATAAGTGTTGCAAAATATTATTGAAAATACTATTAATTGACAATAAGTGGCTGTGGATAAAAATTCCATTATTTTTGACTTTAAGTTATGGCCATCAATATTCTTAAGTTGAAAATACTGTATTTTGTTGTAGTATAATCACATTAAAGTCTGGCAACATTGCTATTTTTTCCTTAGTCTAGCTAGAAAAATTTAACATTTGTAAATGATATTTTTCTTGGCTAATAACATATATTAACTCGCATCTACAATCTAAAGTTTTTCTTAAATTTTGCCAGCTCGCACCATGTGGTGGGCTAGCCCGTAATCTTAAACCTATTGAAAATTAATACACACATCTGTTGAATTAAATCAAATTATACTGGTTTTTCTTCTATTTCTAAAAGACAGACAACCTTATCTAAAAATAGAGAACATATAATATATATAAACACACACACACACACACATATCACAAAAGATTACACTGCGTAAATGTCCAATGATCAGTCAATGGTCGAAATATAATTTTAGAAAAGTCTGCATTCTTATTGTTTTTGTTTTTTTGCCAAAGAAAAGTCTGCATTCTTTTATTTTCATTAAAACCCTTAGTATGTTTTAAAATAAAAAATTTTATATAATAATTATTTCAACAAACTTCATAAAAATAATTCCAAACATTAATTTACTCTTTAAAAGTAAGAAAAATTACAATCAGTTCCCACATAAAGAAATTAATTATTTTTTCAACCTATTTACAAGTCAAACTTCAATATTGACATGCCAAACTTCATTATTTACATGTAAATGAAATTTATAGAAAATTAATTTTTATATATGAGACTCATGTAATTTTCCCTCAAGTGACTTAATTAATCAAGAGACTGAATTAAAAAGAAAAGAAAATAAATTATCAAATATATAAACAAAGAACCATTCTCAGCTCTAAGAGCCTGTTTGTTTTTTGCTTTTAAAATCTGTTTTTTATTTTTAAAAAAAATTTAAAATTTATTTCGATAATTGTTTTTCATTTAGTTGTTTTCAAAATTGTTTTCATTTTTTGTTTTTAAAAATAAAAATAGAAATAACTTTAAGTTGTTTTCATTCATTTTTCTTGTTTTTAAAATACACTACCTTTTATTATTTAAAATTATAGTTACATTGACCAATTTTTATTATTAATTATCACTATTAATTGCTTGCAACCATCACTATCAATCCATTTTTTAATTCTAAAACTGTTTTTTAATTGATATAACCAAACAATTTTCATTTTATTTTGTTTTAAAAATAATTTTAAAAATTGTATCACAAAAAATTTTTTAAAAACAGAAACCAAATAGGCCCTAAGAATATTGCTAAGAATAAATTGCCGTAACAAAAACTAATTACGTACCGATAAAGGAAGGTAAAAATACAAGAGTATTTCTAAGAAAAGAAATTACCAAATTAAATTAAGGAACTATACTCTAGAGCATAAGTTTAGAGTATACTTCCAAAAACTAGCTTGTTACTCCCTCCATTCTATATATAAGAAAAAAAAACTATATTTCATAATTTAAGAAAATAGATTAACTGTAATAATTATATTTGAAAATAAAAAAATTAGACTAAAGTACCTTATGTTAATTAATATATAAAAGCATTAATTAAATTTTTCTCATTAATATAAATAATGGGTTTATGATGGATAATTTAAAAATTTTGTAATAAATACTTATTGAGATATATGATTTTGCTTATTACAAAAAAATTAAAAGTGACAATATTTCTAATAAATAAAAACAGAGGGAGTAAATGAGAAACTTATTACACTTGTAAGTATCACTTCATTTGCGAGGCTTATTGTCAATATGGGAAACTCATATCACTATGCTTCTAAAAATATCTCTGAGAATAAACTGCTGTGGAAAAAAACTAGCTAATTACGTACCGATAAGTGCGAAGATCATTGAACTTGATTTTGTAATGATCGCCATTAACCTGTTCAGTTCCTTTATTGATGGAAATGAGAATGAGAGCTATGAGAAGGAACACAAAGGTGAGAACCCTCAAAACCAGAAGAGCAGTTCTTGAAATTGTTGAAGACGATGGTGGCACTGATGATGAGCCTTCCATTATTATTGCAAAGCCTTCTTTGATTTGATTCTGTGCGAACAGGCTTGGTGTTCGTGTACCATTATTTATATATAAGCCAACTTGTGTGCTAGCTAATATGGCCATCGTTTACTTTTGTTTACATCTAAAACAATAATAAGTCAATGGGACAAGTGGATCAGTATTATATTATATGATTGCCTATGAGTAAAATAATTAATACTTTGGAAATAGTTCTGTCACAACGTGCTCGATCGATCGTCCAGTTGGTTCGTTGACCCAAAATTTGTGGTATATCAAATCAAACTTCTAATTACAATTAAAGCTGTCATTCATCGACTCTGAAATAAGTTTTGTGAGTCTGACGTATATACAAAAGTCTCGATTTTGGAAGTTTCAACCAAGATTTTCTAAAATTATAATAATAAAAATTTCAATACCAATTATTTAGATTATATAGAAGAGACTCAATTTGTTCTTAAAAAAAAAATTTCATATAGCACTAGATATGGGTTTAATGTTATCAAAATAATTATAATGATACATTTAATTAAGATATATAAAAGTAATAAAGTTTAGCCTATAATTTTAAACCATGTATATAGCAGTATATTTTCTAAATATTATGGCTAGACGCGTAGTACGTCTTGCACATTTCTCAAAATGGCCGAAACTTTTGAATAGAGATTAATGAATGACCTTTTGAGTTTCGTAGGGTTTACTATATTTAAAAATATTACCATTATAATAAATAAATAAATAAATAAATAAATAACTTTCAGTGTTGACTTTCAACGACGATGTAAATGACCAACCTGCGGCGGCAAAAAAATCACCATTAAAAGTTTGACTTTTTGTAGTGATATTCATAGTCATTATTGAAAGGGTGATTTTCTACAGCGACAATATATAATCGCCGCTGATTATCAAACTTTCAACAGTAATAAGTGTATATCATCGTTAAAGGTCTAAGTTTCAACAACGACATAGATATCACCGTTAAAAGTTGACAATCAACGGTGAGTCGTCACTGATTGCTTTAAAATATATTATAATTTTTTAAAAATAAATGTTATAATAAATATGTTATAAGTTTCAGTGGCAATATATAAGTCGTCGCTAAAAGTTGATAATTAGTTACGATTTTTTAGTGTCATCACGAAACGCGAGGCTTTTAGTGAAGTCGCCAATAAAAGTCTCACGTTTGATTTTATATTTTCAACATTATTTTTTATTTTTATTTAATCTAATATTTAACTTTTTAAGACATTAATTTTATTGTATTATTGTAATTTTATAATGAATATATAAAATAACATAATGATTTTTCATTTAATATATTTTATGGTTAAATTGTAACTTTAAAATAATACATAGGGATGTAATTTTCTCTCCTTATGCTTGGCTAAGCATAAAATTATAAAATTAAAAAAATCAAACATTAAATTTTTGAATGAATTTATTATCACTTCACACAGGGTATACATTAATTAATTTAGTTAGATTTTGTGTTATTTGTTTAATCTAATATAGGGATGTAATTTTCTCTCCTTATGCTTGGCTGAGCGAGAGAAACAAGAGGAAGAAAAAATTGTTACTTTTATAATATGGATAGTAATAATCTTGTTATTTGAAGAAAATTTTTTATATATAGTAAAATTTAATATTTTAACATATTATTTTTATAATTTTTATTCTATATTATTGATTAAATAAAAATATAATTTTAAATTTCTTTTATCGGATCCTTGAAAAAAAATCATTTTGTCCAACTTGTATTTCTTAAATTATTAAATATTTAATAATCTAAATTTTAAAATAGAGAAAAAAATGAGGATGAAAATTAAGGGAGCCAACAGGTAGGAAATAAAAAGATTTATGACTAAATTTGAAAATTGAGTTTTCTTTAAAATCTCCTCATATTAGGAGAAAAAAGTTGAAAGTAAAAATATAGAGTCTCACATGTTAGTTCATCTCAATTTCCTTCTCGTTTTTCTCTTCTTAACCAAGCAAGAGAAAATATCATTTTCCACTTTTATGTGTCACTTTTTCGGTTTTTCCCCTCCCTTAAATATGAGTATCTCTCTCAACATGAATTCAAACATTGTTCATCATGTTCTAAGCTAATTTCTTCCAATAAATCCAACCTCCATTAACAAATAATGTTGCTGAAAATGACATGTTATTGTAACAATAGCGTGCCACCAATGTGGCAATGATAATTAGTAACAAGAACTTTTTGACGTCAACTTTATTGTTTGATTAATTCTTTAACGAGAAAACTATATAGTCCTTGACCCTAAGTTAAACACAATTAATGTAGGAAACAAAAACCATGTTTCCAAATACACCCAACAAATAATTTTGATTATCATATCTCAAAGCAAGTCATACCATCATCCAAGTCATCGTGTATGAAAGGACTGTTATCGTATGAATTAAATCCTATTATGAATATTCAAGATGATTCACCTAGTACTCGAATGCTACATTCAACTATTCAAGCCTATGCGAGGCCTTTCTTAACATTTATATCAGCAATTTAAATGAGACGCCAACGGCTAAATTATAATTAACCAAAATGTATCAACTATCAAGTGCACGTAGTTAAGAGATTCACAAAATGGAAATTAACTAAACCGCCAAATCAGATTGAACCATTAACAATCCCACGAAAATTACAGCAAAGCAGAAGTGAACCCACTACCTACCATGTCCAGAAACAGAAGCAACTGGCATATGCCTAAATACCCATCTTCAATGATACTTCCGCGAGCTTTCTCATCTCTTTCTTATACTTATTAACTTTGGCAAGCTGCTGGACATCAACAAGCTTTAAGGCTCTTTCTATAGCATCCTCCGTCTTCTTCTTGTCTTGAGCGGAAAAACTTGAGCCATTCACCTTGTTATTCATTGCAGACCTGATTTTGTATATATAGTCCTCCAAATCATTCTTTGCTTTAACTTTCTTCCTGTGCGTCTCATCGTCGGCCCTGTATTTCTCCGCTTCTTGAACCATCCTTTCAATTTGTTCCTTCGATAGTCTTCCTTTTCCTTTGATTACGGTTATCCTATTCTCGATCCCTGTTCTAGTTTCCTTTACAGAGACATTCAAAATACCATTTTCATCAATGGAAAAGCAAACATTGAACTTAGGAACACTCTTTGGTTCTGGGGGAATTTTTATATAAAATGAGTCCAGCAAGTAGTTATCCTCTGCCTTTGCTCTCTCACCCTGAAAAATGTCAAAATGGACTTCTGTTTGGTTGTCACGCACAGTAGTAATATCATCAACCCGCATCGTTGTGGGAATACTAGTGTTCCTTGGAATTACTACTTCCATGAGACCATTATCTAATGAAAACCCTAAAGACAATGGGGTGACTTCTCTCAAGACAATGTCTTGTAGATCTTCATTTCCTTGCCCACTTAAAATGGCAGCTTGAACAGCAGCACCATAAGCAACAGCCTCATCAGGGTTGATGCTCCTGCATAGATCCTTCCCATTAAAGAAGTCCTGTGCTAGCTGTTGAATTTTAGGAATTCTTGTAGACCCACCAACCAGGACAACCTCGTCAATACTCCCCTTGTCAAATTTGGCATCCCTAAGACACTTTTTTGCAATTCTTATGCACTTTGTGAAGAGGTCTTTGTTCAATTCCTCAAACCTTGCACGAGTAATTGTTGAATAAAAGTCAATGCCATCATGTAAAGCATCAACCTCAATGGCTGTTTCAACAATGGATGGAGATGAGAGCGTCCTTTTTGCTCTCTCACAGACAGTTCTTAATCTCCTAAGGGCTTTTGGACTCCCACTGATGTCCTTCTTATGCTTCCCCTTGAACTCTTCCACAAAAAACTTCACCATTCTATTGTCAAAGTCCTCTCCCCCAAGGTGTGTGTCGCCATCAAGTAATTTAACTTCGAAGTCACCCTTGTCGATTGTGACGAGAGACACGTCAAAGGTACCGCCACCAAGGTCAAACACAAAAATGTTCCTCTCATGGTCATAGATATCTTTCTTGTCGAGGCCATATGCAATTGACGCAGCAGTGGGTTCATTGATTATTCGCAATACATTGAGGCCAGCAATTGTGCCTGCATCTTTGGTTGCTTGACGTTGAGAGTCATTGAAATGAGCAGGCACAGTGACAACTGCATCCTTAATTGTTGAACCAAGATATATCTCTGCTATCTCACGCATCTTTGCCAATATCATGGATGAGATTTCTTCAGGTAGGAATTGTTTTTCTTGGGACTTAAAATTCACAACAATTTTGGGCTTATCATCGACCCCACCAATGGTCTTAAATGGCCAAAGGTTTCTATCACTTTGAACATGAGAATCACTAAACCTCCGACCAATTAACCTCTTTGCATCTGCAGAATATTAATCATTGTACAAACAAATAAATAATAACCATATGAACATTACAAGATCCTACTATTCTAAAAGAAAGAAAGAAAGAAAAAAAGAGGTAACCATGGAATCGAACAATTTACATGAAAAAGAACCAAAACTAACTTAGAAAATTATGAAGAACATTAATAAAGATTTCCCCCCCCCTTTTTTTCATTTATTTACATTAAGATCAAAGAAACTTTTGACCAAATTCAGAGCAGCAACTAAAGGAAAGCAAAAAACATACAAGGAAAATTACCAAAGATAGTATTAGTAGGGTTAAGTGCAGCCTGGTTCTTGGCGGCGTCACCGACCATCCTTCGAGTATCACTGAAGGCAACATAAGATGGCGTCGTTCTGTTTCCTTGGTCGTTCACGATGATCTCTACTCGATCATGTTGCTAGACAGCAACAGATGAGTAAGTGGTTCCAAGATCGATTCCAATGGCTAGTTTCTGGTGTGATCTGTTATCCATTATCTTCTCTTTCAAGTCAATGAAGTTTCGTGATACTGAGTCTGGAAAGAAAGGGTTTCGGAACTTGAAGGTTATAAGAGGCCTTGATCATTATCATAATAGTAATACACGACACTGGCCATCATGAGATCTGCTCAGTTTTGGCAAGATGTTTGAAGACCAAAGAGGCAGACACATGGGAATGAAAGCCCTTCGGTGTAAATTACTTCTAACTACTCCACCAAAGCCAATATTTAACTTATGTGGTCTCAAAAAGCAAGAAATTAATGCGTTGTCATAAAAACACTTTTTCTTTCAGCTTGAAAAAAGTAAAAAACAGAAATTGATAAAATATAAAGTTAAGATAGGTTCCTTCTATAGGAAGTTTTTTCAAAATATATTAATTCTTATACTTCATCTCTAAGGAATATACTAATCCACAAGTCTTATCCTCAATTTCTAAGAACTTTACTGCTTTTATCCATGCTCAATAATGCTTTACAGAAATAATATAGCTTGTAGCGTTATAAATAACATTATGGTTCATAACATGAAACTGTAACTTATCATTATTGTGAGTAAAAATTGGTGATGAAGAAGTAAGTAGTCGAAAATGAAAAATTGATACACGTGAAGCCCTTCCAGTTCACGGTTCCCCAGTCTAAGAATTTTACATTTTTATTATTGATACCCGTGACATGATATATGGACACTAAAGAGTTCTTATTCAGGAGAGAAAAGAATAAAATGATTGTGTAAAAAATGCATAGGAATTCAAAAGCTAATATATATATATATATATATATATATATATCTCTATGGAAGAAACTGAATCTGCACCTACAATTTATAATAAGTAATTAAGTACGTCAAGCATGCCAATTCAACTATATAGTCTATTCCCTTGGTGGTGCTAGACATGTGCGTGGCCTTCAATCCAATTTCTACATAGCCACCTTTGGACATAAATTACTTACTGTATTAATCATAATGAATGGTATGGATATGGTTAAAAAGAAAGAAAAAGATAAATATTAAGAAAGGATAAAGATGTTTTTTTTTAACAGAAAAAGGCAATTTATTAATATTCAAAAAAATTACACTCACTAATGTCAAGAAACAATAAAGGAAAGCACATAAATCTCGGTACAACCTCATCCGGGAAAAAAAAAAACAAAAGAAAAGAAACCAACCTACAATACAACCTAAGAAACAAAATAACAAAAAAACGTTATCCAATGCCAGTCCTGTAATGTATCAGCCTTACCAGTCTCCTCATCCTGGACCACAAACTTGCCTTCACCCACCAGATCATCCACCAAGATTGCAGATAAAGAAGTTGGTGCTGTAATCAGCCACCCATTAGGCCACAACTTCTTAGCACTTAAGGCTGCTATCAAATCAGCAGCTCTATTCCCAAGTCTTGAAACTAAGGAAAAAGACACGAGGCTTAGAATTGGCTAAAGACCATCTCAGACAACAACCCTTCATAAATCCATTCACAACCTGCACAAGAACCAGTAGACAAAATATTACACCTCACAATCGGATTCAACACAGATATTGCCCCCAAAACTGTCACAAAAAAAAAAAGGGCTTCCTTCACAACAAAACATTCAGACGTAAAGGCAGAAGATACATCAACATATTTTCCACAGCACCTAAGGAAAGCACCAGACCAATCACGGCAAACTACCCCTATGCCACCATCCCCATTCTTTTTGAATGAACCATCAACATTCAACTTAACAGTACCTTCAGAAGGAGCAACCCACTCAGTAAATTTAACCTTCTCCTTCATGTTCTTCCTTCTAGACTCATTCTTCACATCTCGAACACCCCAGCATTCCTCCACTAATCTCTGTGCCACAAAAATGGTTTTACCAGGATTAACGATCTCAGTTTTAAAAACAAAATCACATCTCATTTTCTAGATCTCCCAACACATCACAGCAGCAAGAGATCTTGAAAAACCAAAAATCTCAAATCTGTTAAGAAACATCTCCTCACACCAGCTCGCAATATTTTTAACCCTTCTATCATCAATCTTCAGAGACAAAGAGCAACCAAACCAACATCTTTTGGCCCATTCACAACCCAAAAACAAATGTTCACAAGTCTCCTCTTCTACCTCACAGATCGGGCATAAAGGGTTCCTAACACATTTCCTTTTAAAAAGAGCATACCTTGTGGCCAACACACCATTAAGCAATCTCCACATAAAATGCTTGACTTTTGGAGGAACATTTAAGCCCCAAACAGTTTTCCATAGAGATTTAGGTTCCTGATAAGAGCAACAGGGCCTGTCGACTATAGAAACTGTAATGACCCTAAAAAAAATAATAAAAAAATAAAATAAAAAATAAAATATTCACCCAATTTATAGTTTACTTAAATTAGTTTTATGATAAAAGATAAGTCGTGACTTAATGAAACTTATGTTAATAGTTTATTTGAAGGCTTAAAACTTAAATTCTTTTAAGTGATAGATTAAATTTTATTTAATTTAAAAATTTTAAAAAAATTATTAAAGTACTCATGACTGTTATGTTATTAGAGAAAAGTGCTGTGCCTCTTTTATAATTTTTGCGATTTTCTAATGATTCAAGCTTTTACTCTCTCCTCTCTCGGTCAGACCACGCGAGAAAGTAAAATTTCCTCTATTCTTCGAAAACTCTAGAACCAGCGAGCATGAGAGGGAGATTTAGATAGCAACTCCTTCGATCTTCCCTCTTCTTCTCCCTCCTTCATTGAGACTAAGGCTAGCGAACCTAGCTGTCAATGAGAGCAGGAGCTCTGCTCGTCGCTGCTATAACGTCCACTGGAAACCCCTACGTTGAGGCACAAATCATAAGACCAAGGTTCCCCTGTTTAGCGTCCAAGCTCCTCCTTTTTCCCTTTTCTTCTTTTCGTCAATCATCGTGAGGCTTCCTTCCCCGTCAGTCAGTTCGCCGTTGACAGGTGTGTGAATTCCAGCCATCATCATCAAGTCTTCATCTTCTCTGTTCAAACGTCGGGTTCCTCTTTCCTTCTCGAGCAGCAGCAATAATTTGGTGCGTAACCTTTCTGGTGTAGATGTTGGGTGCATCAGACTTTTCCCTCCCTGGTTTCAATGTCGATTGCCTCTCTTCTCCTGCCTCATATTCACGCGGTAACACTTTCTTCTCCATATGGTTCTGTATCGCCGCTGTGTCTGTCACTAGTGCGTCTTGGCTGGAGTTCGCTGTTGTTGCAGCATTTCTAATGGTAAACACAACTCCTCTGTTCTTCAATTTCTCCTTCCTTCTTCATTTTCGCATGGCCATATTCCCTTCCTTTCTTATCTTGCAGTCGCCGATTTGGTGTGAGGAAGTTATAAGTTGTGCCTTTTGTTCCTCAATTATTTTGGTGAGTTGAGATTCCACTTCCTTTCCCTTGTTAGCTGTGCGTAAATGTTGATTGGAGTGATGCTGATTTGGGCTTTTAATTTTCTCCTTAATTGGGACTATTTTGCAGGTAGAACATAATTGGGAGACATTCGAGTTAATTAAATTGAAGTTTTGTAACTTGTAAGTATGTGTTTATACTGTGAAAGATTTAGGTTTGTTCAAAAACAAAAAAACAAAAAAAAGAAAGAAGAAAAGAAAAGAAAGGAAAAGAAGATTTAACTGTTCTTTTGAGAAGCATAATCATTCCAAGATAGATATTGAAAAACTTTGGGACATGGAATTGAAAGGGGAGAAACTTAGTAGTAATTTAAAAATTAATACCTAAGGTGTTTGATAAAAAATTTATTAGGGGGAGTTTTATTGGTTTATGTGAATTGTGAGATTTCATTAATTATTGTGAGAAGCATAAATGGCTTGGATAATATTTATTTTTGTGTTGGCTTGAGTATCGTAAGGAATTTCTGATTATGGAATTTATGCATAATTAGTTGATATTCTTGAGAGTTGTATGGCTCGTAATTATAAACTATAGTGTTGTTTTGTGACTCATTGTTGGTGTGCACTTAAGGTATTTGATAAAATGGTATTTTGGATTGATCGAGTAACAAAATTTGGGTAATTTTAAATTTATTATAGATATATATTTGTTGTGTTAATGTTAGAAGGAAGTTTAGTGAAATTGTAGGAAGTCTTATAAAATCCTATTATATATTATAAGGAGATTGGAAGAGAAGAGAACTTGGTATTATGGTTTGAAAAATAAATAAATAAAAATAAAATAAAAATAGTGCTTGCAAGATGTTTGAGAAAATGTTTGTTAGAAGGATCTAACATATTATGGCATGATACTTGTGATGGTTGCATTGTTGTTAGCCAACATATTAAAAAAGACACTTTATAATGCAAATTGAGGCAGACATTAGATATTTGAGGAATAAATATTTTGATTGGTGATTTGTGAGCTAGGTTGTTATTGATATGTTAATCTTTGAAATTTTTAAGGAATAATCGATGCAATGTTTGGAAATTGTTGGGAAAAAAATTATCTATTCTTATACTTAAATAAATTTAGATTGTAAATTTTGAATTGTCAGTGTATACAGGAAATTGATTATGGTATTATTTGGATAATAGGAATTTAAGTACCTCGAGTTGTTGCAAAAAGGGCTAATTTGGAACTAAGTTATGTTTGGGAATTTATCAGGTAAGTGGATAACGTTCCAACTAATCTATGATCAATTTTTTTCAAAAATATTTTTACTTGGATCATTTAATAACAATGATATTACATATGTTATGCTTTGTTAATTAAATTATTTTTATCTTGGAAAATTATAAAGGGATGTGGAAGGATATTTGAATTATGACGTGTATGTGTTTCTCCTAATAAAGGATACTTTCAAGATTGATGGAATTATTTTTATTAGCTTTGGTAATTTTGGTTTCTTAATAAATGCAAGCATGGGCATCATTTATGAAGTTTTATTCTAGCAAGTTTCTAATGTTCATTCTTCATGCAAGTTTAATTTTGAGAATGGAACTGTATTTTAATAATGATGACTTTCTCGCATGTTTGAAAATGGATTTGGAGGGGATTTTATACAAAACACTGGTTGCTAAAGGCAGTTCCGTTAGCCCTTGGCGCGCCATGGTACACCTAGCTAGCATAGTATTTATAGGAGGTGCTAGCCTTATGCGATGGCCAACACACGTGGAATGGAGGGATGGTTTTTGGTGAGCATTGTTCTCACGTTTGTTTTGTGGTTTCAAGCCATGTTTGATTAGCATTACCTTTATAGACTGTGTGTTCACGTTTGTTTCATGGCTTCGGCTGCCTTTAGTTACTTACCTTCGTGGATTGTGTGTCCACATTTGTTTTCGTGGCAAGAGCTATGTTTGGTTATTTACCTTCTTGGACTTTGTGTCTACATTTGTTAATTGTTTTAATAAGTCCCTGTAATATGAATTTGATTATTTGATGATTTTACATTCCATTGATTTTTAACTAGTGAACTATTTATATTATTTATTTTATTTATTTACTTTCTTGCAATCAAGTGATAATAATACTTGATATGATATTTTAATAGTTCAAGATTTTATTTAAGCTTTATTAAATTCTTTTATTTTTGAAATTTATTAAATTTTTATGAAAATCATTGCCTCTATGAATTGCATAATTGTTTCAAACTTTCCTTTTATTCATGTTCAATTATTTATTGTTAGGACGTTATTCACTGAAAAAGATATTTTGGTCTCAGATTGTATAGTTGAACTTGTAACTTGAGATATTCACTGAGAATTTTTATTGCTAAATTGAAGCAGAATAATTATTTTAGTCAAATCCTTATTTGATGAAAAATTTAAACTTTATATCTACGTTGGCGTCTGGCCTTAGGTGCTTCATGTAGACTACAGGTAGGATCCTCGCATTTCTTTTAAAATTTAATATCTAATTTAATATTGTAATAATTTCTAATTACTTTATTAGTGTGTTTGACGTATTAATTTCAGAGTTTCTCCGATCACGGCTTAAGGGATATGAGTTTTGTGCTTATATCCCATGCCAATCATACTTGATTTTTGGGATGTGATAGAAACCTTCACCTCCCTTCGTGCCACATGGTATCTTGTCTTGATTGAATAAACTCCATCCCTCAAAAAACACCAGACTAGCCTATCCTCCAACTCTATTCTAGCAATGAACATATTCAAGATCAAATCACAACTCTTACTATCAATATGATTCCTAACAGGATCTAAATTCCACACACCATTAAAGATCAAATCCGATACTCTTAGTTTCTTCATATCATTACTAAGGTTAGAATGAGGAGCAAGTAGTTTACCATCTAAACCCATCACCCAACAATCATTCCATACACTAATTCGATCACTCTTCCTTAACCTCTATTTCAACCCTTTCAATAAGGCTTGACTACCCCAATGAAGCCTTACCTCCTTTTTTTGCATGTAAAAAATCTACCTTAGGAAAATAGATTCCTTTCAAAACCTTGTACCACAAATCAGTAGGATTTTGAAGCAATGGCCAAGCAGCTTTTGCTAATAAGGCCTGGTTAAAGGCTTGAAAACTTTTAAATCTCATAGCCCCATCATTTTTAATAGTAGACATATCACTCCACTTCTTCCAATATATTCTCTTCCCATCCTTGTCATTATATCCCCACAAAAAATTAAAAATCATACTATCAATTTCTTTACATGTTTTTATCAAGAAAAGCAAAGCAAGCTATTAAATAAACAGGGATTGAATTAGTAACAGCCTTAATAAGTACCTCTTTGCCAGTAAATGTTAAGAGTCTCTGTTTCCAACCTTGGAGTTTAGCAAGGATTTTTTTCTTCACAAATGACAATGCAACTGTTTTAGATCTTTCCTACAGCACTGGCAAACCCAAGTAAGTTCCTAGATCTTTAATAGCTTTAACTCCAAGAACACTCTCAATTTCTTCTCTAACTTCTGGAGTTGTATTTAGAGAAAAAAACATACAGGACTTTTCCAAGTTCATCTCCTACCCTAATGCAGCACAGAAAAGCTCTAGAATCTTCCGCAAAACTAAGCAATTATCTCTATTTTCCTTTACAAAAAATATAGCATCATTAGCAAAAAAAAACAACGAGAGAATAAGACCCCCTTTAGATAATCGAATGCCCATTAGTTCTTTTTTATCCACATGATACTGCAACATCAAAAACAGCACATTAACTGCAATAATAAACAAACAAGGAGACAACGGATCTCCCTGCCTTACTCCTCTCCTAGGAATAATCCTTACTACTTTTCTGTTAGAAACTTACAAATCAAAAACAATAGAGGAAACATACTCCATGATCCAACCAACCCATTGCCTCTAGAAACCCATTTTCAACATCACCTATATTAAGAAATTCTAACTCACCTGATCATAAGATTTATTCAAAACAATCTTCACAGCTAGCTTAATTCTAATCCCTTCCTTCCTCCTCTTAAGATAATGAAAAGCTTCATGAGCAATAACCACATTATCTTGAATTTGCCTTCCAACAATAAAGGCTTTTTGATGTTAAGAAATACAATGATTCAACAAATTTCTCATTCTAGAAGTCAAGATCTTAGCAATGATTTTATAAGATGTGTTACACAAATCTATTGGCCAAAAATGATTCACAATTTCATGTCTATCCTTCTTTGGAATCAAAACAATGTTTGTTAAATTGAGCTTCCTCAAATCAAAATGACCTTCAAAAAACTATTGCACCATGCCATACACCTCTATTTTGACTTCCTCCCAAGCAGATTGATAGAACAAAGTAGTATAACCATCCGGCCCAAGGGCCTTTGTTGCACCAAGATCAAACACTACTCTTTCAATCTCCTCTATCGACACAAGTCTGATTAATTGATCATTATCTTTAGAGGAAATAACTAGATTCACATATCTTAAGACCTCTTCAAGTTTTTCTGAGGCCTTTGCAAAAAAAAAAACAAATTTGAGTAAAATTTTCAAAAAGTATGATCAATTTCTTCCTCCTTTTCCAACCAATCACCATTCTCATCTTTCAACCGAATGAGATTATTTCTTGTTCTTCTTTGAATTACAATATTATGAAAAAATGTCATGTTCCTATCCCCACATTAAATCCACTTCAATTTAGACTCCTGCCCCCAAAACATCTCTTCTCTATCCCATGCCTCCTCCATTTAATTAACTAGCTCCTTAGCAATACGAGACACTTTAGCAGTAAAACATACCTGTTGACACTCAGCAAGATTCACCCTTAAATCCTCACTTACTTTCCTATTATTAGGAAAAGTATCCTTGATCCATCTCAACAACTCCCTCCTACAGACATTCAATTTATCAATAAAAATATCAATTTTATTAGTTTTAGCACAGCTACTGCCAATCCTCCACCCTTTTCTAACAATCTCTAAAAATTGTTCATGCTCAGCCCATAAAAGTATCAAATTTAAACCAAATTTAAACTTTTTTTATACCTTATAAACTTGATAACAACAGTCAACAATAATTAGGTTGTGATTAAAACCAACAGCCTCAGAATGCAAAATTACCGCCTTACTAAAATCCTCCCAAACTTCTACATTACTATAGCCACCCTATCTAATCTTTCCTTCACATTAGCTCCCCTATGCCTGTTATTACTCCAAGTAAATTCTAGACCCTTGAATTCAAGGTCCATTAACCTATAATCACAAAGTAAATTCTAAAAGTAAACAACTCTACTTACTAAAATCAGATGACCACCTTCCTTATCCAATTGAGAACTCAACTCATTGAAATCACCTACACAAAGCTAAGAATCCATAACACCTTAGCTACCTACCTCTATCCTACTCCACCGATGCACCAAAGACAAAAGTAATGAAATTAGGAACAGCTTCTATTATAAAAAATAGCTTACAATGAATTAAATTGTTTGATTAAAATAGAACCTCTAACAAAATAACCTCCAACCACCAAAGAGCCAAACCTCCAAAATTCCCCACTGGATCTACATGTAATTCTTTTTCCAAACCATAATTCCTTTTAATCCTTTTCAACTTATTACTACACATCCTAGTTTTCATAAGAAACATAATTGAGGGCGTATACTTTCTATTACAATCTTTTAAGTTCTTTTTTATCAAGGCCACCCCCAAACCTTGACAATTTCAAGAAAGAAACTTCATGGCAACCCAACAGCTATTAAAGTCCAGCTACCCTCGCCCTCAACATAAGAATTATCTCTACTCATACCTACCTCTAAAATTCCCTTCTTCATTGTAGTTAAACCCACCTCCCTACCAACATCCATACTAATCTTCAAGGAAATCCTAGCCTTTTTCCTCACCTCCTGCTTCACTAACATTATTCTTCTAGTCAAACTTTTTCTCACTTTCAGACGCTCTTTCTTTAGACTATTTGCAAAGGTTGAAAGCAAAAAATCCTGCTGTTCCATCACTCTTCTCCTCTTACTTTCATCAGCTTGAAGAAGGTCTTCACCTCCTCTCTTCAATTTCAATCTCCTTAAATTTTCCTAAATCTATAAAACCTCAGCGGCCTTTGAATGAGGAACCAAAGCTCAAGAATCCACCTCCTTCTCCTTCAGCCTTTCTACTATATTTTCAAGCCCATCATTAGGACCAATTTCTTCGCTTTAGATTCTTTGCACAACCTCCTTACCTCCAATAAGGTTTACAATAACTAAACCAACCCTATCATCATAAGTAGCTTTAGCATTGTTATGATCTACAAGCCCATTTCTCACATAAGCCCAAGCAATATTAGGGACGCTTAAATCATTTTTTAGGACATTAGAGCATTCACCTTTAGCCCAAGTTAATAATCTTGTACTATTAATAATAAAAGAATCATAAAACCCAAATACACTTGAAACCTCCAACCTTTCCACCTCTCCCTTCCCCTTCGCCATGATTCTCTTCACATTCTCCCTATTGTTTTCCTTTAAACTGCCTTCCACTGGAACACTGTTGGTTTCTAAAATCCTATCATCACTAATACTCAACCTTTCTTTGTCAACATTCTAGCCCTTTTGACCACCACTAGCACATTAAAATGATTACATTCTTGCTTTACAAATAGCCATGGCCTAAATCTTAGTAATCGAGGGTTAATACTCGACATCCGATAATCAATATTGCACAATCAATATTCATGTCCAATAATTCCACATTTAAAACAATAATAAGGCAGTTTCTCATATCTCACATCAATCCATACCTTGCTTCTATCAAGACACTGAATCTAGAAACAAGCCACTAAAGGCTTCACTAGATCAACAAGGACGTGAATTCTTAGAAAACAACATGATATTCTTCCATTCTATAGAGGATCCTCAATCAACATAACCTCTCTTACCCTTCCTCCTAGAGTTAAGGCATTTCACAGATTCATTAAACCAGGCAGAACTTGATGTAATTGAATCCAAAAA